AGTAAAACCTGCTGGGAAAACTGGAAAGCAGACTGGTAGAAGTTAGGCTTGAACCAACATGTTACACCACATTCTATAATACATTCTAAATGGATATGTGATTAATTAATATTAAAGTCATTTTCATTAAAAGTTAGAAGAGCAATAGATCATATACATTTTACATCTGAGAACAGGAGATGTATTCCTTGTACAACAAGGGATAGCAGCAACTATAAAAGATAAAATAGATAATTTTGATTAAATGAAACTGAAATGTTTCTTCACAAACAAAATTAATGCACTTAGGATGAGAAAGGAGATGGTCAAATGGGCAAAAAAAAATCTTTGTATTAAATTTGTTTGGTATCCAAGATATATAAACAATATATCTCTGTATATACATATATCTGTATATATATTTTAACAGATTATAATAATTAAAATATAAGAATTAACCTATGTATGTATATATCATACATATATACAAGTATATAATATACATGTATATGTACCCATATTATGTTTACATAGCTATAGAACTAGGTTCTGAAGTCACTTTAAATTTAAGCATCTACCTAAATTTCTTTACCTGTAAAATAGGGATAATAATGACACTTACCTCCAGAGTGTTGTGACAATCAAATGAGATAATATTTGTAAAGTGCTGAGCACAGTGTCTGGCATATAGTAGGCACTTAAATACTTGTTCCCTTCTTGATATAGAAAAATTATTCACAAACAGATAAGTGGTCAAAGGATATGAGCAAATAGTTCTTAAAAGAAGAATTGCCAGCTATCAAGAGTGAGATAAAGGAATGCTCCAAATCACTAATAATAAAAGAAATCCAAATCAAGAAAACCCTGTGGCTTTAATTCACACTCTGCTAATTGGTAGAGATGACAAAATATAGAAATTGTCAGTGTTCGATGGATTATGATAAGATAGGCACCGTACCAATTGCAATGAGTATAATCACCATTTTGGAAAATAATTTGGAATTATGCAATTAAAGTGCCTAAATGTCCATACTCTTTGATCCAAAGTTTCTTGGGGCTTATATCCCAGGGAGGACATTGGTAAGGAGAAATTCTCCATAGACACAAGATTATTTATAATAACACTTTAGGTGATAGTAAATAATTGTATAAGTTTACAAAGTTTACAAAAATTGTAAACTATTTTTGTTAAAGAAATTTTCATGGGTGAATATAATGGAATATTATTGTGCTGTAGAAAATGATGAATATGATGAATACAGAGAAGCATAGAAAGGTCTATATGAATTCATAGAGAATGACAGAAGACAGAAGATAGAAGAAAACAACACAAACAATGACTACAACAATATAAACAGGAAGAAAAACCACATGCAAAAAAACAAAATTGAATTTGCGAAGTTATAAGAACAAGCATGGTTGAAAAGAAGAAATATGAGAACTTCCCTCCCCTCCCTTTTTAGTAGTGGGTATTCCATTCATATGGTTCATTGTGCATTTTTCAGACTTTTGAAACATATTAAACAGTTTTGCTGATTTCTCTCCCTTTTTTTTTTGTTTTGTAAAATATGGGCTAGCTCTCTGGGAGTCAAAGGGGCAGGGTTATTGGGCATAATTTTAATGCTATAAGGAAAAAAATCTAAAGACATCAATAAAATACATTTTTTAAAAATGAGATTGGGGAGCTATTCTCTACCTTTAATTTTATAGAACATTCTAAATGATTTGAGAAGTTAGATTTTTAAAAAATAGCTAGAAGTTTATTTGCATAGGTAGGAGATGAACCATTTGTTTTTGGAACAGGGGGTCTTATGTTTGGTTTTATGTAGAAAGCAACAATTAATTGCTAGGGAGGAAGGCCTGTTCAAACTAGGAAATTTGTATTACTGGAAGATAGTAAATACTAACCACCTCATTTTTTTTAATCTTGAAGAGAAATGTTGAATATGTTTGTATTCAAAGACATATTTTTAAACAAAGTAACATGTTGTGGTTTTTACTATTGAAGGAATAAAAGAAGCTATTTTATTATTTTAAAGAAGGAAAATAAAAATAATATGTGGATAATTTTTGAAAATTCAGAATTTCAAGAGACAGAAATTACTTCTAGGAGTAACCATCAAAACTTTTAAATGTTAGGCAAGTGTTTAGGAATATCCTGAAATACAGCCATTATTTGCAGTGAATTAACTATGTGATTATAGAAAGATGATCATAGGAATTTTTAACCTAATTTTTAGTTTGTATAGGTAACCCAAGGTTCAAAGATCATCTGTCTAAGATTCTCTTCATTGGTGGAGACTAATTACTCTGGGAAGAAACTGACATATAGCAAATAAACCCATTTTTGCAAGCCAAAAGAAAACAGAAATCAGAGAAGTTATACAGATGAAATTATACCAGACGATTTATATAGTGGAGAAAGAAAGAGAAAGAGAGAGAGAGAGAGAGAGAGAGAGAGAGAGAGATACAGATATACAGACAGACACAGAGAGAAAGAGAGAGAGAGAGAGAGAGAGAGAGAGAGAGAGAGAGAGAGAGAGACCCACCCAGATCTCACTCAAGAGGAAATTCCTTGAAGCCTCTGTGTTAAAAGCTCGGCATAATAGTGAACACGTACATTGTGTTTTGAAGTTTGCACAACTTTTTACAAATATTATCTCATGTCTTTTCTTACAATAATGCTGGGAGGTATTGAGACAGAGAAATGTCTGAGGTGCTAGTTCCTCTACATATCAGCATCTTCCCAGAATATTTCTCTCTTCAGGGACCACTCCCAGAACATGATCTGGAACTACTGCAAACACCAATATCTCTCATGCTCTCATCAATACCTATCATTCATCCCTAAAAGCAGCACTTTTCATTAATGAAGAGTCTTATGCAAATAGGCTTTGAGCTCCAGATTACATATATTTTATTCAACTACCTAGATACTACAGCATTTTAAAAACCAGAGGTAATTTAGTTTCTTGAATAATTTATTAATTTAATTTATCAAGTGTATACCTGTGAAGCATTTTTAAAACAGGTACGTGAATTTTCTTTTGTCAGGAAAAAAAATTCACAAAATGAAAGAATTCCATTAATTCTAAGTATTGAAGATTTTCTTAATAAATTGTAAAAGAATAAATAAATTGAAATTTAAAAACTTGGTTCAGACTTTGACATTTCAGTAACTTAAATAACTAATCTGAAACATTTCCCACACCTTAATTACACTCCCTTCCAGAGCCAATAAGAAACAAAGTAAAAATGTGTTTTTTGTTTTACTATAGTAGCATGTTTTAACAGTGTGTACTGTGATACCTATTGCTATGAAGACAACTCAGACACCTTTTCTAATATTTAGCAAGACAGTAGGCATTTTGGTTTCTATAGTTATGGGGGAGGAAGATGAAGATTTAAGAATCCAACTGTGCCTTGTTTATAAAGCTAGTTAACAGTTTACTTACCAATTTAGCAATGCAATACCCTCTGAAGTCTGATGGAGTATTATGTGATCCATTTTTTTTTTTTTTGGATTCAGAGAAAAATCACCTGGACACTCATGGGCAATTCTGGAAAATGTTATGTCTTGGATCCTGTGAGGAGATATTCTATGCAATTTGCATCCATTCCCACTGGTTCTATATTAATAGAATCCAAGGCCTATGAAAATATTAGTAGAGAGACAAGTCTGTGGTCTCTACCCAGGGAGACTCATGTTCAGCAGGTGCTCTGGCTCCTTCCTCCAGGCCCGCCTCCTCAGAGTTTCTTCCTAGCAGGCGAGATATTCCTTTCCTCCACTCGGCGTTTGGCAGAGGTTCTGGAGCTTCCAGACTGTTCTGCCACCAACTTCACCACTCAGTGTGCTTTTTTTTTCTCTGGGAATATCTCTAGCGCCCCTACCCAGGCTGTCAATTTTTGCAGCTTCCCCAGGGCTCGTTTTTGCTCCTTATTAATCATTTCTTTCTGTTTTTCAAGTCCCACCTCAAGGTCATGTTCTGCTTCCAGATCAGCCTGACCTTCTACAGGCCTGTCTTGTGCTCTCAGACAGGAGTCCTCAATTTCTTGGGAGCTGCCAAAAGCTGTCAGCTTTTGGATTTTTCTTTCCTTTCTGCCTAGCGAGCAGTTTACCTTCCAATTTCTAAAGGGACTCTGAATAACTGGGTGCTCCCTTTTCCTGGGGTATGTGAAGTGGGGTGGGACGGCAAGGATGGGGGTGGGAGTGGGGAATGGGCTCTTCAGTAAACTTAGCACCTTGGTTTTAGTTCTTTTTAATCAGGAGGAGGAGAGTGGCATGACTACAGGATGGTGGGAGGGAAAAGGAGGAGGCTGCAGTTGCTCCTGAAATCTGTTGCAGTGGGAGAAAAGGGACAAGGAAGCTCTTCCTCGGTTTCTTCATTCCCTTCCATTTCCTCCCCGCCCTCTCCCTTGCTCGCCCCTCCCTGAAAGGGCAATCTCTTCTCCCTGCATCTCTGGGCTCTCCTCCCATCGTCTCTGCCTTCATCACAGGTTTCGGCTGCAGCGAGGGAGGGAGTTTTTGTTGCCACCCACACCCGTCAACACTCCCAACCTCCATTCCCACCACCGATCTTTCCTTCTTTCCTCTCTTCTCCTTTCTCTTCATCCCCATCATCGTTCTCTCTCTCTCTCTCTCTCTCTCTCTCTCTCTCTCTCTCT